TTAAAGCTAAGTTTTCTGTGAAACACAGAAACCTGGAGATGCTGGCGAGCTTGCCTCCACAACTTAAATTGCCCCGTGGGATGTATAGATTAAATTGAAGTATTAATTGAGTGATTACATTATGTCAATTGTGCTCACAAAAGGAAGGTGTTACTTGGTACTTTCCTTGGTTATTCAATGCATTCAAAGAAGTCTCATTTAGTGCACAGCACCCCAAGCCTGCAACCAGTAAGAGATTCTTTTCTCTTCTTCAAAGGCTGCAATTAATATTACAGCAGTGCACCAGGAGTACAGTGCCATCCTCGGTGCTTGTGAATGACACAGTGCTGAAACAATGACCAGCTGGGACTTCCTGACTTCATCCCACCTTTCCACTCCCCAGCCTGGACTTCCCATTTCCATCCTATATAGACACAAACCAATAGAAGGTGTATTAAGGAAGAAAACATGTCTTGCGACTTACCATTCTGATTCATAGTCACACTATAAAAATCAAACGTATGGTCCCTTACATTTTCTCTCTTTAAAATATAGGTTGAGTGACCTCAAACTTAAGAAATAAATAGCAGATGCAAATATGGTCATTAGACCATTTTTATGTATTTTTTCTGTGCAACCAATTCCCCAGAAAAGCAGGCATATTAAATTGTAGATATTGTAATAGCAGATATTGAAGAAACAGGTTTTCTTTTTACTCTGAAAAAATGTTAATGCTGTCCATGACTGGGGTTAAATCTTGTGAAAGACCACAGCGTGATAGCATTACCATTTTCAGATGGTTGGTGTTCTTCAAGAAATAGCCACTGCCAACTCTTCCCATCGAACGCCTCTATGATACTGAGTTCCTGTGTCTGGATTCCTTAAAAAACTAATAAAATAAATGTAGCTGCACTAGCAAGTTCACTGACTTCTAATATAACGAAGTATTGCGATAAGCTGAGTGGTATAGCATTAGATAAGTTACCAAACAACACTAAGAGATTACTTCTTGACCGAGGTTAAAATAGAAAGGGAAGCTCATTCTAGCTGCTGTCATAAAAGGAGTCGACATCTGCTGATGATTGAGCGTTTTCATCACTTGCATGTGTTCAATTTCCCAGAGAAGAGTTTACTTCCTTGGTAAGAAAAAAATAACCCTCTCTTGACATTTAATTCCTTCTGTTATAAAGGAAGTCAGACTAAACCATAATTGCCTTTCTATCTCCAAAATCCGTGATAACATGAATTATAGAATATTTCTTTGGGAAAAAAAAAAATCCCACTCAGTCAGATAATGTGTACACAAAGCTGGAACTGACTCGGCTCAACCTTCCTACTGCCACCTCTTAGGATCAATACACAATGTGGCTTTAACCTTGGTATGGAGTTTCCTTTTTGGTTAAAACCAATAATTAAAAGAGAAAGCTCAAGAGTCCTAAGCTCAGGGAAAAATAATTTGGAAAAGTTTCAACTCTCTTTCAAACGAGAGGTAGAAGGAGGAACAACTTGAATATGAGAAGCCATGGAGCTACTACTGAGATGTGCAACAAGGAGGAAGGCTTCAGTTCCTGCCTTTTCCCCTGTAGTCATAGAATGGTTTGGGTTGGAAGGGACCTTTAAATGCCATCTAGTCCAACCCCCCCAAGCCTTGGGCAGAGGCATCTTTCACTCGATGAGGTTGCTCAAAGCCCTGTCCAACCTGCCCTTGAACACTTCCAGGGTTGGGGTACCCACAGCTTCTCTGGACAACCTTTTCTGGTGTCTCACCACCTCCATCATAAAAAAAAAAAAAAAAAAAAAAAATATTCTTCCTTATTTATTCCTTACCAGAATCTGGCCAGTGTCATCTTCTGATCATGTATGTTGGCCTAAGTCACCCTGCCCTCCTCTTTCTCCATCATCTGTGTTTTTTAGTATGGTGTCCTCCTTGAGTCTTCCTTACTTTTAACAGGCTCTGCATTTCTTTTACTGGATGGATACAGGAAAAACTGCCTCTTTAAACCTGAAAATCAATTTAATAAAAAGGAGAAATAGCCAAGGAGGTGACTATGCTTAATCTTATAGTCTTTTTTGTCCATCTATCTTCCCCCAGTCCCTGCAATCTCTGGGGTCTATAGCATTCGGTATAGAGAAATTACAGCATCTACTTTCTTGTCTCTTTTTGAACTGACCTACAGTGGTCTCTTTTAGCTACTTCCAACGGAGATAAAATATAGAAATGGTAAAATACAGAAATGGTCCTGAGCTCAAGGACCAGATCTCCCTGTTGCTCTGTGGCTGCCATGAGCACTGAGCAGTTTCAATTTGTTCTCGTGCTCATCCAAGAAATGTTCAGGACTTTTTCTACTGGTGGCATCACTTCATACAGATCATGTAGGGACTACTCCGAGTGCCTTATGACCTGTCCACCAAAGATGTTTCCCCCTGCAAGCATTGCTCTGAATCCCCCTGTGACAGAATAGGAAATTAGATCCACATTTCCTGCTTCTTTGGAAAGTCCTGTCACCACCATTCTGCTGGCAAGAAAGAAGTGGTCACTACCTGCTATTACCAAAGTCCCTTTTAACTGCTACCCTCCTCCGTGAGAATCCAGTGCTTTTAAAAGATGTCCTGCAGCTCCATCTCTCCCAAAGGAAGACGGGCTTTCTGGAGCCCACGTCAACCGAGATGTGAGCTAGCACCAAGTTCTGCAGAAGTGTGAGCTTCCACCTTTTTACACATAGACCTCTGGGGAAGGATGGGGCAGGCGGGGGAGGGGGGGAAGTTTGATCTCGTGTAAACTTCAGCTGGCAGCCCTCAACAGCATTTTTAGTAACTGTAGTTCTGCACTGGCAAAAGTCCCTTCCATGCAATTCCCCTGCCTGTCCCACACCCACTTGTCATAGACCCAGCAAAGGTCGGGAAAGGGAAATCCCATCTCCAGACTTTTCAGCCCAGCTACGCGCCTTTCAAATAGTTTCTTACACTGCATGCTATAAAAGCCAGATTACGCCGCCCCCCTCAGCCAAAAAAAAACCAAAAAAACGCACCAACAAATTTTGAAACATGGAATTCCTGTTAAAAAAATTTCCTAAGGGGAAGCAGCATTCTCACCTTTCTCTAGAGGTAGTGGAATCCAGGAGGAACTCTGAAGTGGATCCTCAAAATACAGAGCAGACATGAGGAGCCTGCGTGGGTTGGTGAGGTAACTGCTTTAAGATTCGGAAGAGGCCCCCTACATCAGTGCCCACCTGCACAATTTCACTGTGGCATTGGGTTAACCAGAGAGATCAGGTACCTCCAAAAAACCCAGCAAATTTTGTGTTCCTCAAGACGGGAACCAATGCCTGCTTTTTCAGTAGCACCAGGGCAACAGGTCCAAAGCCAAAGTATGCTCTGGAAGGTTAGGTTTAAAAGAAACACAAATATTTGAAGTTCAGCACAAAGACCCTTTATAGTCTTAAGAAAACATATAGAATGTATGTGTGTACTTTTAAGGTAAGCCTTGAAACAAGAATCTTATTTTAAAAAATTAGCATCTGATACTATTATAAAAAGTCCTCTACAAGATTAATCAAGAGGGAAAAAAAAATCAGTTTTCCAAGCAGTCTGAGAAGGCACGAGCTAACTTCATAAAGATGTGTTGTATTTAACAGGAAACTAATCCAGAGCCCATAGCCTGTTAGCGTATTGATAGACTTCAAACTTCATTGTATGCCAGTAAATTTGAATAGCTAATGACTGTACTAAGCCCAGAAATGCATAGGAGCACACATATTTCAACACATACCTTAAGCAGATTTCTGCAACTTCACCAAAAGCTGCTTTTACCACTTGCATTTCTTCTTCTGTGCTCTGACACACTCAGCATTTACTTATTATTTAGTTCGATTAAGCTAAGGTTTCCTTACCTGAATGTACTTTACTGAACTGCTACCCTGCTCTTAGGAAACTATAGTGTCAATCGGTTAGAGAGCAAGCGATGCAGTCAATGGTAAAAACAGTAACTGGGATAAAATTCAGAGAAGATATTCGCACTTCAAGTAGTAATAAAAATCTCCTCTGGTATAACGAGAACAGCTCTAATGAGCTAGGGATGAAAACACAAAATGTCAGAAAACATCATCTAACAAAAACCTCTTGTGAAATTTAATTGAAGTCACCATATTTAAATATCAAAGAATGAAAATGCGCAACAAATCTTACTACACTGGGGATGCAAGTAATTGACTACATTCCTGGTACTATCCTGGAAAATGATCTTTAACTGCACTTGAACAGCAGAAAATACTGAAACTCAAAGAACATTTCAGCTTTTACATTCTGCTATCTTTATATTAGTAAAGCAATGGCAATTACAGTCATCTACTGAATGGAGTCTTTTGAACCAGAAACACAACAGAGTATCTACTTTTAATTCTGACAGGAAATCAAAATGAGTAAAATAATAATCTTTCTTAACCCTTCATGGGCTTCTGAAAGGGCTTTTTTTTTTTTTTTTTTTTTTTTTTTTTTTTTTTTTTTTTTTTTTTTTTTTTTTTTTTTTTTTTTTTGTAGGTACTATTTGTCTCAACTTTCTATTGCAGTAGGCAAAGAACTCTGGGGAATTTCATCAGAAAGTTCCAGCAACAAACACACACATCAAGTCAGAAATTAGAAGGAAATACTTTCTTCACGGAAGACTAAACAAGGGGTCTTGAAATTATATCAAGATAAAGAGGGTGCCCTTTTCAGCTACCAGTTCAACTACAGCCTGCAGGCTAAACTGTACTAATCACAGAGGACAACACCTGGACACATACAACTGCTGTTGAGATAAGGACAATGGTAATTTCCAAGATGAGTTGTTGCAAATAAAACATTACCTTTTCTTCCTTCCCCCCCCCCCCCAGTGGACTGAAAAGCCCAATACTGGCTTTGTATCTATCTGTGATTTAGGCCCACGGAATTCAAATGAATTAGCCAAGACATTTTTATATGCAGCACAAATAAGACATGTAAAAATACACTTTTATTATGTACATTTAGAGGTTAAAGTTAATTTAAATTGATACAGTTTTTCCTTCTTCAGTTCCACTTTTTGTCTCATGACATTCTGCTGCTGCTTCCAAATATTTTTCTTCAGTGACCTGCAGAAACGTAAGAATTCTGTTATATTTTTAAATATGTTTTAATCCTCCTTGATCCTGGAAATCCTCCCCTCATACTGTCACCGTAACAAGGCAGGACAGCCTACAAAGACAATTATCATCTCCAAAATTAAACAACCCGAATTACAAGCATCTTCAAACTAATTTCATAGAAAAACATCATGGGTTAGGCTCTGCGCACATCCTTGGCTAACAAGTTTCAGTAGACATACAGCACTTTTTTCTCTATTGCTACACAAGTAAGTAAAATATTTGATCTGAAGGCTCAAAAACATCTGCTGTTTAATTCTTATGAAGATTTCCCACATTTAAGCATGCCTTGAAAGTGAGCCTCCAGTTATATGTGGCTTATGATATTTTATAGTTCCACTTATCTTAAAAACTTGCCTTTTGCATTTATTCAGTCACTGTAAAGCTTCTCTTGGGTAAGTATATTTCATCTTTGAAACATTGGTTGTTTATCAGAAGTATCTTTGCAAGAAACTCTTATTTTCCTTGCAGATTTTAAACAGGCAAAAAATACTCAAACTAGCACATTTATGCAGCTTACTAAAATAGCATTCCCTTTTATCTCCCCTTTAACTTCCACCTAGGTTCACCCAGTGGTATTAGATTTTATCCCTGCATTTACTTGTAAGAAACATGTTCGTATACGTTCTCCCAAACCTGTGGCAGAAAACTTGTTACCACCTAAAATCTAGGTAATCGTAAATACATTATTACAATTTTTAGGTTTTTTATTTCATGTTCACAATTAAAACAGGAAAAAATAATTTTAAATCTTACACACGATACCAAGGTTAATTCTAGAGATTAATTTGAAAAATACTAATATAGTTTAAAGTGATAATAAAAAACAACTTAAGAGATTTCACGTGTATCTGATTTTTCTTCACCTCTGAACATTTCTATTCCTAAAGATATGTCCGTGAAGATATTACCCATCTCTAATCATTCAAATTCTACTCTATCACAGCATATCTTAATATTTGGTAAGCTGTACCTCACTGCTAATAAGACTTACCAGCCTCTTCGATCTTTCCAGCAGCCTGTGCCACACGGTGTGGTGAGCCTGTATTAAATGTCATTAAATGATGTTACTGGAGGCCAAAAGTAAAAATAAAAATCTTCTCACAGAATAGATTCTGACAAGTGTACAGAAATGATCACACAAAACCATAACAATCACCAATTCAGATGTTACAGCTTATGATTTCAGTGTCCAATTTGCCCATCTCATTTTGGGGTACTTGGAACAAATGTCTGCTGATCATATCCATTCATTGTGTGGAATCATTGAGGGGTAATGGGCAAAAATGGGAATTAAAATCTTATGACGAAGAAGGGTACACAGAGATGAGGTGAGGAACCCAGTGCCCACTTGTCCCTTGGGAACTTCCCCAAGTGAGACAATAGCACATGTGCTAGACTACAGGTCAAAATCATGCAAGTCAACAGAAACAGGAAGAAAGACTCCTGTCTCCACCTATAGCTCTGCAAAGCCTTTGTTTAAGACTGATGAGTGCTAGGACCTTTTCTGTTACTGTTGTTAAATATTACTTCCATGTCACGGAAGACTTTGAAATGGTATCCTTTATCATGAGTATAAATTCAAAGTTCTGCTCTTTCCTTCTTTATCTGAATAAACACTGTCAGTAGCCTCAATTTCAGAAGACCAGCATGCGCAACTAACTAAGGCAAGGTAAATGAAATATCCATGCAGAAATTGCACAACCAAAACAACACTTTCAGTACTGAAAAGTAACATCAAGGGCCCTCTGATGCAAACTTTTCTACTTCTGATTTCACATCCATAATAGTTCCATGAAAACAAATCCCAAATATCCAACACAGTCATAATCACGGGCCTTCCCTTTCTGCTACTGTTCTCAACTCTGAATTAGACTTGGCTACCAGCACAGCATACAATAAAGAACAGAAAGTAAGGCAAATGCCCTAACTTAAAGAAGGAAAACCTGTATGAAATGGATTAGTTACCTTCAAATGGATTGGCAGGGACACACCCTGGAACCTTCTTATCAGCTCAGATTGATTAGTCTGAAGATTATGGGCTGCCGTTATCTCATACTGGAAACAGAAACTTGTCCTTGGAATATGAGGGCCTTCACTAACATCTACAAAGTCACCAAACCTGATGGGAGGGGGGAAAAAAAAACAAACTATGTCAAATACATTCGGAGAGAAGTACAAGCTTATTTGTTTTTATTTTTTGATTAGCAAATTCCTATCTACAGAACAGATGAAAAGAAACCCAGACAAATCCCAAACCAAATCTAAACAAATCCCCAGTTCAGCATTTCCAGGTTTCATGAAGCAAAAGCACAGGTCACACAGTTTCGTAAAATGAATTCATGAAATTTAAACTTCAAGCCTAGAAAAAGGATCCTATGTTTAACAAATCTTTGATGTCATGTTGGCTTTAAAAGTGGGTACAACTCCGTCCTTCACCAGAAAAACATTTGTCTGTGAGATCACACATTTTCTACAATACAGTGCTTACAACCTGCACAGGTATTTCCCTTTCAGGTCTTGGAAAACTGCAAATCAATTAGGAAAAGTGAGTGACAAAAAGATGAGCAGCAGAAGAACATTCAGAACAAACCTCTTTCACAAATCAATAGGTAAGCCCACTTTACCTCTTATTAAGCAAGCTAGAGAGTGGGAGGAAGGAGGAACAACTGACAACATCTTTCTAAAAGTTAAAGAACCATCACTGCAAAGACATCTGTTCCCTTAGAGAGACATGGACTCCAAAATTAAATGCAGAACAATTTAGACATCTAGACAACTGAAGATCCTACACTGCCCTAAGCTAGTCACAGATTCTTTTACGTGCCTGAGATACAATACAAGCCTCCTGCCTCCAGCCCAAGAACTTTGTATCTTACGCTGTATCCCAGAAGCCAGCTCCATTATCATCTCCACCACTACGAGGCAGCAGCTTGCCAGTTAGGAAGATCTTGACAACTTTGGAAGAAAGATCCACTATACAACGCTAACTCTTATTTTCAAAGAAGTATTTGGTTTGTATTTTATTTAACCTGTCAAGCTCTAGAGATTTATTTAGATTTTACATAAAAGCATTTAAAGCAGTAAGACTTCTCTGGCACTTACCACCTTTAACATAACACGAAATAGAAATGTAGTGAGATCCACCGAGTGTTAAGTATCACAAAACAATGGTTGTATAAAAAAACCCCAACAACTTAAGACAGACTACAGACAGCAATGAATACAAGTGATTTCTAAATTGAAAATCACAAGCAACTTACTCTTCTCACTTGCAGAGAGTACTTGCAAAATAATAAAATCTTTCAGTGAATCATTACAAAATGACATTCATTTTTGCTCACCTATATAATGTTACAATTCCTTCCATATTCTGAGAAGCTTTTTGATCTATCATCTCCATTTTGCATCTGAACAAGACAAAAAAAAAAAAAAGATAACACCTAGTTCTTGTAAGAATACTTAAGAGATCGATTTAAGGAGCATTCTTAAAAATCATGCTTGTATTTATGTGAGCTTTGAAAAAGGTTTAAATTCCTAATTTTATATGACAACACCTATTGGCATGTTTCATACAGCACATCTGTTAGTCTAACCTCAGCTCCTGGAAAAATTATGGAGATAACACTGAGTACTATTTAAAGGCATTTAAAGAATAAAGCAATCATCAGGCACAGTCAACATGGGTTCACAAAGGGCAAGTCATTAATTTGATATCCTTCTATGATAAGGTCACCCGCCTAGTGCATGAAGGGGAAGTGGTGGATATAATTTTTCTGGATTTTACTAAGGCTTTTGATACTGTCCCTCACAGCATCCTTCTTGACAAGCTGTCCAACTGTGGGATGAGCGGGTTCATGGTGCACTGTGTGAAGAACTGGCTGAGGGGCAGGGCTCGAAGGGCTATAGTGAATGAGGCTACATTTGGCTGGCAACCGGTCACCAGCAGTGTTCCTCAAGGCTCAACTCCAGGGCCAGTTCTGTTCAGTATTTTTATCAGCAATCTGGATGCAGGACTTGAATGCACCATTAGCAAGTTTACTGATGATACCAAACTGGGAGGTGCTGTTGTCTCTCCTGAAGGGACCAGAGGCCTTGCAGAGGGATCTAGATAGATTGAAGCATTGGGATATGATTAATGGGACAGAATTTAACAAGTCAAAATGACAGACTCGGTACCTGGGATGGAGTAATGCCAGACACAAGTATAAATTGGGAGAGAAGCGGCTGGAGAGCAGCCCTGCAGAAAGGGACCCAGGGATGCTGGTTGACACCAGGCTCAGTGTGAGTCAGCAACATACCCTGGTAGCCAAGAGGGCAAACCCCATCCTGGGGTGCATCAAACACAGTACAACCAGCTGGTCACAAGAGGCGATTATTCCGCTGTATTCAGTACTGGTGCGGCCTCACTTTGAGTGCTCTGTGCAGTTCTGGGCCCCACAATTTAAGAAGGATGTGAAGGTCCTTGAATGTGTCAAGGAGGGCAACAAAGTTGGTGAAAGGGGTGGAAGGAATGTCCCATGAGCAGCAGCTGAAGATTTTGGGCTTGCCTAGTTTGGAGAAAAGGAGGGTGAGGGGCGGCCTCCTTGCTCTCTACAGCTTCCTGAGGAGGGGAGGTGGAGAGGGAGGTGCTGAGGTCTTCTCCCTGGTATCGTGTGATAGGATGTGTGTGAATGGTTCAAAGCTGCACCAGGGGAAGTTTAGACTGGACATTAGGAAGCATTTCTTTACCAAGAGAGTGGTCAAACACTGGAACAGGCTTCCTGGAGAGGTGGTCGATGCCCCAGGCCTCTCAGTATGTAAGGCATTTGGACAATGCTTTAACTTTTGGTCAGCCGTCCATCTTGATGATCACTGTAGGTCCCTTCCAACTGAAATAGTCTATTCTATTCTATTTATATGTTAAAGGAGGACCATGCTCTCTCAGCAAAGTTCTATTCAAAAAGATAAAATGAACCTATTACTTCAAATTAAAATAAGAGTTTTTCAAGTCACATGTATGACTAGAAGACTCTATCCAATCACCTAAACTGATTTTATGCAATGTGTAGTCCTCAACAGCTGGTCATCTGCAAGACAGCAAAGCATCCTCTGCTCTTTCTACACACACACAAATACACATACAATGTCTAAAGCTATTACCAAAAGTCAGCTCCCACCTGCTGTCAACGCTTGCCAGCCAACACAGCAGAGAGATGCTAGTTTGTATGTCACATTAATACCATCTTCATTATTAAGCTAAAAACCCTAGTTATTTTTGCAACTTTAGTTTTAGCATAATTTTATTTTGGTTCACAAAACTATAAATTCTTTATCATTTCCCCCCACCTCTCTCTAACCACCAAAAAGCTGTGGAACAGAGAATTTTTTTCCTGAAACACTGCTTAGATTCTTTTTTCAGTGAAGAAAACTGGACTGTTTTGAACAAGCCTTCTTTTATAGCACGGGCCAGAGTATTTTACCCGTTTTTTACCCTTGCAGGTCTTAAAAACTGCATTTTGTCAAACATTCATTTGAAGATACCAAGATATGAAAAACCTACGTTTCTTTGAATATGAAAGCCTTTCAGCAAAGGCTGAGTAACTAGAATGCCAAGTCTAACCATGTGAGCTTCAATTTAAAAGTAGTGAAATCTTGAAGCTCGCTGTTAAACTAAGAAGTCTACAGTCTTTCCATTTGTCACAAAACTACATCCAGCAAAGGTGCCTGGGGTTGGCCTCCGGAAAGAACATTAAAAATGAAGTAAGGTAGTGTGACAAAGAGAACAGAGGCATGTTCATTCAGAGTAGTGAGAGAAGTACCTTCTTACTTCACCTGTTACATCTTATTTTAGATTCACAAAAACAAGCACAAACGTAATTTCTAATTAACAGACACTTACCTGTTATGTTGAAACATTTCACGTGCTACTTTTGCTTCAACACGCAGCATTTCAAACGGCAGGTCTTTATGAATTAGCTTTCCAGCATCCCTTGTAAGAGAACGGAAGTTGTCCTAAAGAAACAGTTAATACATATAAAACTGTCACCACTGTTTCACAGCTGTACTGAACAGGCAAAGCATAGGAAACACTAAATGTTAGTCAAAACAATAAGGATCGTTTAAGAATACTAAATATAAGAATATTGCTGTAGGATTGTAACTCTTACTATTTATCTGCAACAGATTGTTACAGACCATCACTGTTTGAATGGACTGATTCAATGACCAGTGAGATCAATAGGCGTTTTTTCCATCAGAAACTATACACATTAGTTGGAGTTAAACTTCTCAGGTTTTCCCAACATCAATATATTAATATATATGGCCTTGCTAACGTTAAATATTCATCTGTGTATCCTGTTTCCCAGAGTCATGATTCCACTTAAAAAAGGCCTCTGTTCTGATGGAATCAAAACAAAAAAGTTCTGAATAATTAATAAATACACATTGATCACCTTGGTCCAAAGCTCTGCATACTCAGATTTGTCAATAAATAAGAAGTTGTTATTAGTAGACACTACATTTACAATGTCACTTAGAAAAGATTTCAAACTAAGTTACTTCAACTACAAGATCATATTGAAGAAAAATTCTGCATTATACCAACACTGCTTTGTTAGCCATACACAACTCTGCTAGTATTTGGGCATGAGAACAAGAATAGGCACCAGATGAGTAGAGCACTCGTGATCACACCAGCTGCTAAACAGTTATGAGACTTAAAGATTTTAGAGGATTAGATTTACTGAACAGCATGAAATATAAGCAAGCTATTAAGGAAAGCTTCAGCTGAACGTGCCTACGGTTCTTTTACAGCAATAAACTGTTATGCTGTAAACCCCTAGGTGAAAATACACGTATTACACACATTTCTATTTTCAGTGGGCTCTATTCACACAAAGGCTATCGGGCTATGGTTGCATCTACGTTACCACAAACAAGTGGCTGAGTAGGAGCAAATCTGTACAGTAGCAAAGATGGCACTGAGGTCCCAACAGCCAGACCAACTATTCTGGGAATTGCATTTCAGACTAGAGCTACTCAAGCCCCATAAGCTTAAAACCTGTAAGTATTTGGAGGACAGTTCTAGGTTTAATTTCATCTGAAAGGAACCCAATTTGCATGCTCTGAGACCATTCTGCCACGAAAGCCAGTATGTCGTAAATGTGGAGATTAGTTTCCAAAGAGTACTCCTGACCTGAAATAAAATACTAGTGTAGATATACCTTATGAAAAGAAAAAAAAAACAAACTCACTGCCCTCTCTCCCCCATTAGAAAAGAACTACTGGACAAGGATGTAAGCTTCTTAACTTTTTGAGGAAGAAGTTATTGTGCTTACATTTGTTGGTTTCCAGTCATTCAGTCTGTTGTCCAAAATTACATCATAACAGAAAGCTCCAGAGATCACTGCAATTCCAATTCCGAAGAGAAAGATATTTAAGTTTGTAACAAAGTATGTATTTTATTGCCATAATATACACTTATAAATATATCAAAATGAATAAAAACAAAATGATTTCAAGAAATCCATCAAAGTCTTCAGCAGTGATTATACAGTCAAATGGCATATTAAACCTGTATCAGGTCACAGATGAGCAAAAGTTGTTACTAACCCTGTTTGTACTTCAATAATCTTCCACAAACTTGATGTACACGTCATAACTTTTAGTAACTCAAGTGCTCACAAGGTTACGTATTAGGGCAAATTTCACAGAAACACATCACATCTTCTAAATACCTTACTCAACAATAAAAAGGTTATGTCCTCAAGTTACTAACTTAACCTATGAAATCCTACATGGTCTGAAACCCAGTTGCCACAGACCAATTTTCTGTACTTTGATAACAAAATTGTTTTCAGTGTGATTGCTATAAATTAAAGGCTACATCAACAGCATGTGGTACACAAATCAATGCTAAGTACCTTAAATAATTGGAAAAGGAGCCTCTGATTTTTTGGTAACGTTATTAAGACAGTCACTTAAGAAGCAGCAAAAGACAAGACAATCAGTATAAAACGCTTATATCACCTGGCACTTCTGGAGCTTTAATCAGAGTCACTGAGTACTCATCTTTGAACGCCTGTTTTAACACACATGCCATGATCATGGCACAGGAACGCCAATAGGCCTGTAAAGAGAATTTCAAAACACAGATTTTTTACCTAGAAGCTAACAACCTATACCAGAAGAATATCAGCTATTTATTCCAAAAGAACACCAACATTTAACTGAATTAGGCACAAACCTAACTGTCAACCAAAGCATTACTTTCTTTAGTATTTGAACTTCTAATTGGAGATGATTGTCCATGTAGAATCAATCAAAAAAAAAATCAAAACTGCACTTAAAATGCAAGCCAGATGTTTCCCTGGAGATCTTTAAATCTGAAATCATAGGATAATACAACAATGCAGGTTGAAAGGGATGCCTGCACATCACCCAGCCCACAACCTGGTCCAAATAATCATGATGTACCAACCAGCTATTAAAAATATCTGTACTTTCACGACAAACAAGTTCAAGAAAGCAGATAAACATGGAACTGAAGGGGGCACACAAAATCTAGTGGTCATAATCAGGCTCACCTACAACAAGATAAGATACAGACTTACCTTGTTTACTTCCTCTGGATCTTCATCTTTGAAAGTTAGGAACTGAATTTCACATGATTTGGTCAAGGGTCTATACATATCCCAGACTTCACCATCCACAAGAGCTAGGACGGATTTCCTGCAATGCCATTCACTTAAGTCTGAAGAAAATGAAAAAAGTATTACACAGTTATTAGCCATACTCCTCAGAGTCAACAGTGTAGACCCTGCATTTGTAACAACAAACTGCAAGTTTCACTTGCTAATAGAGCCTCCAAAAATTAACTCTTTTTCTGCTGATGTATTCTAGTACAAATGGATTTTAAACATACCAACTACAAATATTCTGAATGCATGTCTGTTACCTTGGTCATCAAAATGCCAATAATATTAACATTTTGAATTTGGACAATAAGGACTTCGATCGACAGCACAATTTTCATCACCAGTGGCACAACGTTAGTTCAAGAGTCCATTCACTTACGCATGGCACAATTGTATGGAGTAGACAAAGCTTTGTTCATCACAAACACACTGCCAGGGTGAGACTTCCCAGTGTATTTTACTTCGATTTTCTCAATTCGTGGATACAGGGATAACTGTCTCTCTTTCTCTTTGGTAAAGAGCTCGTTGCGCATTTGAATCACCTCATCTGATGTCAGACGAGAAATAGTCTGCGTGGAGATGAACCCTGGTATAAAACAAGCAATAAGGAGTTTTTAAGGCCTCTTTATAAGATGCTCGTTTCTACAGAAAGTTAGACATGACACCGCACGCCTAATCCATGTCTGTCTCCGTGTGTAGACGGTCAGCACTTTCGCAGCTCCTGCTGCCCGTCTACTCTAGGTCCCTGCAATGCCTGCATGAAGTCGCGACAGACAACTCTGACGCAACGAAAGCGTAATGACGTTCGCCGGCTGCAAAGGCTCTTCCCGAAGACAGGCCCCTGCGGTCCGCGCCCGCTCTGCGCCACCGCTCCCGCGCCCCGGCCCC